CCCTCCTCCTTGCCCTCCCGTACAGCAGACCCCAGGGGCTCGGAGAGGCAAGCACGGCGGAGCTGTTTAACCGTTCTTGGGTCCCGGAGAGCGAGTCGCCTGCGCGCTTGCTTAAAGGGGTGATACGGAGCGGGTGGGCCCGGACGTCCTGCCTGGGCCGCGCCGAGGGGCATGTGCCCCGACGCCCACTTAAGAGCCGCCTTCAAGTGCGATGGCGGGCTCTTTGCGAGCTCTGGCCCTAGCGCACCATGGCGACCCCTCGCCGCCCTCCGCAGGAGCTGAGACGGGCAGAGCTGGTGGAGATCATCGTGGAGACCGAGGCGCAGACCGGGGCCAGCGGCATCAACGTAGCGGGCGGCGGCAAAGAGGGAATCTTCGTCCGTGAACTGCGCGAGGACTCGCCCGCCGCCAGGAGCCTCAGCCTGCAGGAAGGTGGGCGGGGCCGGGGCATGGGGCGGGGCCGACCCTCGGGGGCGGAGCTAGGTATCCACCCCGAGTCCGGAGCTGCGCGGAAGCGGACTCAGAAGGATGGAGGGCTTAAGGCCGTGGGGCGGGGCTTTGCTGGCCTCGCGGTTGATCAGAGCAAGCTCGGGAGGTTCATTGGGGTCCAATCCCAGATTCCCCGCGTACTAGCTTGTGATCTTTCTGTGCCTCAGTTCTCTCGTCTCGGAAATGGGACTAATTCTAGAACTGACCTCATGGGGTTCTTATGTAGATTCAATGCGTCAGTATTTGAAAACACTTAGCACATAGTTAAGTGGCACATAGTAAGCTCCAGCAAGTGCTCGGTAATGGTTTTGTTGACGGGGTAGGGAAAAGGGGGTGGAGTTAGTCTCTTGGAGTAGTTGGGGAGGGATGTTTCAGTAAACATGGCTGAAACTGATGTGATTTATTCATGCAACAACTATTTTTTAAGTGCCTTCTATTTCAGATATTATCTTAGCTGCTTGGGCTGCAGTAGTAAACAAAACAGACAACAGTCCCTGCACTCACCGAGCTTACATTCTAGTGGGAAGAGACATATTTAAACAAAATAAGTAAAATGCCTAATAAATTAGAAGGCCAGGCGTGGTGGCTCATGCCTGTAATCTGAGCACTTTGGGAGGTTGAGGTGAGAGGATTGCCTGAGCCCACGGGTTCGAGACCAGCCTGGGCAATCTGGCGAGACCTCATCTCTACAATAAAAATTTAAAAAATTAGCAGGTCGTGGTGGCACATGCCTGTAGTTCCAGCCACTTGGAAGGCTGAGGTGGAAGGATCGCCTGAGCCCAGCAGGTGGAGGTTGCCGTGGTTGTGAGCATGCCACTGCACGCCAGCCTGGGCGGCAGAGTGAGACTCCAACTCAAAAAAAAAAAAGAAAAAGAAAGAAAGAAAAAAGAAGGCAATATGTGCTACAGATGCCAGAAGGAAAACTGCATTTTAAAATAGGGTGCCGCAAAGGGTGGAAAGACTGAAGGAGGTAAGAGAACAAGCTACGTGGCCATCTGAAAGATCATTCCAGGTAGAGGGAACAGCCAGTGCAAATGCCTCAAGGTGGGGGCATACTTAGCTTCTTGGAGGAACAGCAAGGAAGCCAGTGTAGATACAGTAGTTAGTGAAGAGGAGAGTAAAAGGTGAGGTCAGAGAGGTAAGGGGAGGACAGTTTTTAGAGGGCTTCAGAGGGCATGGTGAGGACTTTGGCTTTTATTCTGTGAGGGTTGTGAGCAGAAAAGAAACATGGATTAACTATGTTGAACTGCTGCATTAACAGCAGAATATAGGAGGGCAGGGTTGAGAGCAGGGAGGCTACTGTGAAGATTCAGGGAAGAGATGGTGATATTCAGGACCAAAGTGTTGTTGTTGGAAGCAAAGAGAAGGATTTGGATTCTGGATCTATGTTGAAGGAGGAGCCTTCAGGACTGGGTATGGGATGTGATGGAAAGACAGTTGCCAAGGATGTGTCCAGGTATTTTGACCTGAGGATTTAGTTGTTAATCCCCAAAAGGGGAACACTGGGGATAGCGCTCACTTGGAGAAGACAGACCAAGAGAGCATTTTGGATTTGTTAAATGAGAGGTTCTGTTGGACAACCCGTTGGAGATGTGGAAGGGAAGTTGGATATATAAGTCTAGGGTGGCAGGGAGAGTGCTGGGCTGGAGAGATGCATTTGGGAGTGGTCAGCAGATTTATTATCTTTAACTCCTGAATCTGGATGAATTCCCAAGGGGTGACTGTAGCATGTAGAGAGAAGAGAAGAGATGCAAGACCTGAGCCCTGCGGCAAGGAGCAAGGTATCTTTAAAAGTGGGGCACAGGACCAGGGAGGGCCAGGCACAGGGGCTCACACCTATAATCCCAGCACTTTGGGAGGCCGAGGTGAGAGGATTGCCTGAGCCCATGGGTTCGAGACCAACTTGGGGAACTTGGTGAGACCTCATCTCTACAATAAATCAAAAACTTAACCAGGCATGGTGGCACGTGCCTATAGTTCCAGCTACTTGGAGGGCTGAGGCAGAAGGATCACCTGAGCCCAGCAGGTCGAGGCTGCGGTGGCCGTGAGCGTGTCACTGCACTCCAGCCTGGGCAGCAGAGTGAGACTTCAACTTAAAAAAAAAAAAAAAGTAAGGATAATGAGAAAGAAAGATTGATGAAGACTGAGAGGAACCTCCAGAGGGTGATGCACCCTCGAAGCCAAGGAAAGCAAATGGATGAAGGAGAGAGAGTGAAGTTGGGTCAAATGCTGAGATGAAGTCTGGGGCTTGACCCATGGACTTAGCTACGCAGGGTTGACTGCCTGGGATCTTGAGAGGAGCAGTTCTGATGTTGATGGGGCAGGAAAAAAGGGAGGAGTTCATGACTGGGAGGAGTTGGGGAGCGAAGTTTAGTGAGTGCGTGTGGGGGTGGGGGAAGACGGGGTAGGAGGTGTGACTGGAAAAGTGGAAATGATGCCGCTAGACAACTCAATGCATTTTGCTATCAAGCTCTGGGGGAGTGAGGCCTTGACAACCTTTCTTATGGGAGAAATAAGAACATGTGTGTAGCTGATGGGAATAATGCAGAAGGGGGCAATTGATGATGTGAGAAGAGGGGAGAATGGCTGAGAATGCCCCTGAGAAGGCTGTGGAGGAACTGACTGAGCTAGGAGTGGGGGAAACGTCATCACTAGGAACAGGAGGGAGAGTGGAGTAAATTGCTACAGGAGCAAGGGGGTGAAAAAGACGGAGTGGAAGCTTCTGGACGTTTGCTTCTGATTCTGTTCTCTTCGTGAAAGGAGCAAAGTCAGTATCTGAAACGTCAGGATGGATGGGGGAGTGGAAAGGTGATGGGCGTGACCCGAGTGGGCGTGGATTTGTTCAGTGCGGAAAGGGCGGAACAGAGCTAAAGCCATGAGGCGGGCTTCGTTCTTTACCTTCCGAACCTCAGGCCTGGCAAAACTTTCCGACTCAGTTCTACACTGGGTGTACAAGTGGCCAAAATCTGGGGGCGGGTCCTCACTGCATTGGCTCCAAACGAGTGGGCAGAACCAAGCTCGGCCGGATCCGGGAGATGCCCACTCCCTGTCCACCTCCACCTCGCCTGCAGGGGACCAGCTGCTGAGCGCCCGCGTGTTCTTTGAGAACTTCAAGTACGAGGACGCACTCCGCCTGCTGCAATGCGCCGAGCCTTACAAGGTCTCCTTCTGCCTGAAGCGCACTGTGCCCACCGGGGACCTGGCGCTGCGGCCTGGGACCGTGGCCGGCTACGAGATCAAGGGCCCGCGGGCCAAGGTGGCCAAGCTGGTACGCGTGCTTAGCCCGGCCCCGGCCCTGGACTGCCCCAGCGATCCCACCTCTGCGCCATGAGCCCCACTCCCCGCTACCCTGGGCCAGCCTAGCCCTCTGTTTTGTCACTAACCCAACGCTAATCCCACCCCCGACCCCTTGTTCTCTGCCCCCTAAATTCCTCCCCGGGGAGGGGGACCCACCCATCCCAAACCAGGGTCCTCACCCACTTTGGTGAGGCGTTTCCACTATCGGATCCAGGCTTGCTAGGGGTCCTGACTCAGGGTACTTGGAACCAAGGAAGCCAGATTCCAGCCTGAGTACTGCTCAATGCTGCTGAGTGACCCTGGACAAGTTTCTTTCCCTCCCTGGGCCTCAGTTTCTCCATCCATAGAATGAGGATGTTGGGGCCTGGGTGTGGTGGCTCACACCTGTAATCCCAACATTTTAGGCAGCCAAGACTACTTGAGTCCAGGAGTTCGAGACCAGCCTAGGCATCATAAGGAGACCTCATCTCTAAAATAATTTTTTTTAATTAGCTGGGTGTAATGGCATGTGCCTATAGTCCCAGCTACTCAGGAGGCTGAGGCAGAAGGATCGCCTGAGCCCAGGCCAGAAGGTTGAGGCTGCAGTGAGCTGTGATCGTGCCACTGCGCTCCAGCCTGGGAGACCCAAACAAAAACAAAAACAAAAAAAAACCAAAAACCCCGAGGATATAAGTATGTTGGGGAAAATCCTGAATAAGGACCTAGACATTTTGGGTTCCAGTTCCTACACTCATTGACTCACTTCGAAATTCTAAATGAATGTCTGTCTTCCTGGACACTAATGGTGAAATGACAGGCAGGAAGTGGGGATGGTGTTTTGGGGACGAGAAACTCAACCCAGCACATCCCCAGCTTGGTACAATGCCAGGTGGGTCTCTTCTCATCCACTCCTGGCCTCCCACTGTCCCACCGCCTCCCGCCTCTCTCCTCTCTCCCCAGAACATCCAGAGTCTGTCCCCTGTGAAGAAGAAGAAGATGGTGGTGGTGCCCGGGGCCCTGGGGGTCCCTGCTGACCTGGCCCCCGTTGACGTCGAGTTCTCCTTCCCCAAGTTCTCCCGTCTGCGTCGGGGCCTCAAAGCCGAGGCTGTCAAGGGTCCTGTCCCAGCCGCCCCTGCCCGCCGGCGCCTCCAGCTGCCTCGGCTGCGTGTACGAGAAGTGGCCGAAGAGGCCCAGGCAGCCCGGCTGGCTGCCGCCGCTCCTCCCCCCAGAAAGGCCAAGGTGGAGGCTGAGGTGGCCGCAGGAGCCCGTTTCACAGCCCCCCAGGTGGAGCTGGTTGGGCCCCGGCTGCCAGGTGCTGAGATGGGTGTACCCCAAGTCTCAGCCCCCAAGGCGGCTCCCTCAGTAGAGGGAGTCAGTGGCTTTGCCCTCCACCTGCCAACCCTTGGGCTAGGAGCCCCGGCTGCACCTGCTGTGGAACCCCCGGCCGTAGGGATCCAGGTCCCCCAGGTGGAGCTGCCCACCCTGCCCTCACTCCCCACTCTGCCCACACTTCCCTGCCTGGAGACCCGGGAAGGGGTTGCGGCGGTGGTGGTGCCCACCCTGGATGTGGCAGCGCCTACTGTGGGGGTGGACCTGGCCTTGCCGGGCACGGAGGTGGAGGCCCGAGGAGAGGCACCCGAGGTGGCCCTGAAGATGCCCCGCCTCAGTTTCCCCCGCTTTGGGGCTCGAGCAAAGGAAGCTGTGGAGGCCAAGGTGGCCAAGGGCAGCCCTGAGACCAGGGTGAAAGGTCCCAAACTTCGCATGCCCACCTTTGGGCTTTCTCTCCTGGAGCCCCGGCCCACTGCCCCCGAAGCCGTTGTTGAGAGCAAGCTCAAGCTGCCCACCCTCAAGATGCCCTCCTTTGGCATTGGAGTGTCAGGGCCTGAGGTCAAGGTGTCCAAGGGGCCTGAAGTGAAGCTCCCCAAAGCCCCCGATGTCAAGCTCCCCAAAGTGCCCGAGGCTACCCTTCCAGGTGTGAAACTCCCAGAGGTGCAGCTCCCGAAAGTGGCAGAGATGAAACTCCCAAAGGTGTCAGAGATGGCAGTGCCAGAGATGCGGCTTCCAGAGGTGCAGCTGCCGAAAGTCCCCGAGATGAAGCTCCCCGAGATGAAAGTCCCCGAGATGAAGCTCCCCGAGATGAAACTCCCAAAGGTGCCTGAGATGGCCGTGCCCGACGTGCACCTCCCGGAAGTGCAGCTCCCGAAAGTTCCAGAGATGAAGCTCCCTGAGATGAAACTCCCTGAAGTGAAACTCCCAAAGGTGCCTGAGATGGCTGTGCCTGACGTGCACCTCCCAGAATTGCAGCTCCCGAAAGTTCCAGAGATGAAACTCCCCAAGATACCCGAGATGGCCGTGCCAGAGGTTCGACTCCCCGAGGTGCAGCTGCCAAAAGTCTCAGAGATGAAACTCCCCAAGGTGCCTGAGATGGCCGTGCCCGATGTGCACCTCCCGGAAGTGCAGCTCCCGAAAGTGTCAGAGATGAAACTCCCCAAGGTGCCCGAGATGGCCGTGCCTGATGTGCGCCTCCCGGAAGTGCAGCTGCCGAAAGTGTCAGAGATGAAAGTCCCGGACATGAAACTCCCAGAGATCAAACTCCCCAAGATGCCCGAGATGGCTGTGCCCGACATGCACCTCCCAGAGGTGCAGCTGCCAAAGGTTTCAGAGATTCGGCTGCCGGAAATGCAAGTACCAAAGGTCTCCGATGTGCATCTTCCGAAGGTGCCGGACGTGAAGCTACCCAAGGCCCCAGAGGTGCAACTGAAAGCCGCTGGGGCAGAAAAGGCAGAGGGGCTGGAATTTGGCTTCAAGATGCCCAAGATGACCATGCCTAAGCTAGGGAGGGCGGGGTCCCCGTCACGAGGCAAGCCGGGTGAGGCAGGTGCTGAGGTCTCGGAGAAGCTAGTGACACTTCCCTGTCTGCAGCCGGAGGTGAGCGGCGAGGCTCGGGTGGGTGTCCCCTCTCTCAGCCTGCCCTCAGTGGAGATAGACCTGCCCGGGGCCCTCGGCCTGGAGGGGAAGGTCCAAGCAGCCGAAGCGGGCAAGGTGGAGAGGGCAGAGGGCCCCCAGGTGGCAGCAGGGGTCAGGGAAGTGGGCTTCCGCGTGCCCTCTGTTGAGATTGTCACTCCACAGCTGCCCACCGTGGAAACTGAGGAAGGCCAGCTAGAGATGATGGAGATGAAGGTCAAGGCCTCCTCCAAGTTCTCCCTGCCCAAGTTTGGACTCGCGGGGCCAAAGGTGGCCAAGGTAGAGGCCGAGGGGGCTGGGCGAGCCACCAAGCTGAAAGTGTCCAAGTTCGCCATCTCACTCCCCAAGGCTCGGGTGGGAACTGAGGCTGAGGCTAAAGAGGCAGGGGAGGCAGGCCTGCTGCCTGCCCTCGATCTGTCCATCCCACAGCTCAGCCTGGATGCTCATCTGCCCTCAGGAAAGCTGGAGGTGGCAGGGGCTGACGTCAAGCTCAAGGGGCCCAGGTTTGCTCTGCCCAAGTTTGGGGTCAGAGGCCGGGACACTGAGGCAGGAGAACTAGCGTCGGGGGTGGCTGAGTTGGAGGCCAAGGGCTGGGGCTGGGATGGAAAGATGAAGATGCCCAAGCTGAAGATGCCGTCCTTTGGGCTGGCTCGAGGGAAGGAAGCGGAAGTCCAGCGTGAGCGCACAAGCCCGGGGGAAAAACTTGAATTCATCACCGGGCAGCTTAAGATCCCTGAGGTGGAGCTGGTCACACCAGGGGGCCAGGAGGAAGGGAGGGCAGAGGGGGCAATGGCGGTCAGTGGGATGCGGCTGTCAGGCCTGCAGGTGTCCACAGCCAAGGCAGTGGTCACCGAGGGCCATGAGGGAAGGCTGAGGATGCCGTCACTTGGTATCTCCCTGCCCCAGGTGGAGCTGACTGGCTTTGGGGAGGCGGGTACCCTGGGGCAGCAGGCCGAGGGCACAGCCCCTTCAGCTGAGGGCACAGCAGGCTATAAGGTCCAGGTGCCTCAGGTGGCCCTGTCTCTGCCTGGCGCACAGGTAGCAGGGGGGGAGCTGTTGGTGGGTGAGGGCGTCTTCAAGATGCCCACCGTGACGGTGCCCCAGCTTGAGCTGGACGTGGGGCTGAGTCGGGAGGCGCAGGTGGGTGAGACAGCCACAGGCGAGGGTGGGTTGAGGCTGAAGTTGCCCACACTAGGGGCTGGCTCTGGGGCTGGGAAAGAGAGGGCTGAGGACCAGCCTCCAGGGGCTGAGCGTACCTTCCACCTCTCCCTGCCTGACGTGGAACTCTCACCACCTGTGGGCACCCACGCCGAGTACCAGGTGGTACAGGGTGAGGGGGATGCCGGACACAAGCTCAAGGTGCGGCTGCCCCGGTTTGGCCTGGTGAGGGCCAGGGAGGGGGTCGAGGAGGGTGAGAAGGCCAAGAGCCCCAAACTCAGGCTGCCTCGAGTGGGCTTCAGCCAAAGTGAGACAGTTGCTGGGGAAGGCTCCCCCAGCCCCGAGGAGGAGGAAGAAGAGGACAGTGGGGAAGGGGCCTCGGGACGCCGCAGCCGGGTCCGGGTCCGCTTGCCACGTGTGGGCCTGGCGGCCCCTTCTAAAGCCTCAAAGGGGCAGGAGGGTGAGGTAGCCTCCAAGTCCCCTGTCGGGGAGAAGTCACCCAAGTTCCGCTTCCCCAGGGTGTCCCTAAGCCCCAAGGCCCGGAGTGGGAGTGGGGACCAGGAAGAGGGTGGATTCAGGGTTCGGCTGCCCAGTGTGGGGTTTTCGGAGACAGGGGCTCCAGGCCCCACCAGGATGGAAGGGGCTCAGGCTGCCGCCGTCTGAAGCCCCTGGGCAGATGGAGACTCCCTCCCTGTCTTCCCAGCTCCACCTCTCCCTCGTTTTGTGTGTGAGATAACTAGCACTAACCCTAAGAGGGCTGGAAGGCGGGCGACTGACCGGGGCAGGGGCAGGGAGGCCTGTACCTGTCTCACTGGCAGAAGTGCCTGTATCACGCCAAGCCATGTGAATAAAATAATCCAGAGGTAGCCATGTGTGGGGTCTCTATGTGTTGAGGGGTAGGCTTGGGGTGTGTGTGATGGGAGTGAGGGTGGGGAGGTGCAGAGAAAAGAGTTCCTGCTGGGCGTGGTGCCTGTAATCTCAACACGTTGGGAGGCCGAGGTGGGAAGATTGCTTAGTCACGAGGGTTCGAGACCAGCCTGGGCAGTAGAGCAAGACCTGGTCTCTACAAAAAAAAAAATTAAAAATTAGCCAGGCGTGGTGGCATGTGCCTGCAGCAGTCCCAGCTACTCAAGAGGCTGAGGAAGAAGGATCACCTGAGCCTGAGTAGTCAAGGCTGTGGTGAGCCATGACCATGCCACGGCACACCAGCCTGGGCAACAGAGTGAGACCCCAACTCAAAAAAAGAGAGAAAGTCCCCAAATAGAAGGTTCTAAAGGGTATTTGAGCCTGGCTTGAGGGACAACCTTCGATATGACATGAGAAACAAGTCACCCTGGTCTGAGAAGAGTCAGGGTGGCCTTGGGTTAGGCCCCTGCAGGAGGGGTCCTGCCTTAGTCCTTGAGAATTCCCAGATGCCTTTGAGAAGGACTCTGGGAAGTTGCCCAGCAGAGCACAGCTGTGGGATCCCTCTGCCGGAGAGTCTTCCTGTTCTGGGGGACCCATTCCCACCAGGCTGATTGCTACTCACCTGCCCTCTGCCCAGGAGAGGCACTTCTGTACCTCCTGACCTTCCTGTCTGGCTGGTTTGACTGCCCTATCCACCCAGCCCCACCCAGCCCCACCCAGGAAGGCTCCTCTTGGACCCCTTCAGGACTGTGGGTTCAAAGCTTCCATCCCAAATGCTTGGCTGCCTCTTAGAACTAGTCCTAGGGTCCTCAGTGCCTGTCTGTACTGGCTCTCAGCCCCCAAAGACTATGACCCATTTATCTCTACCCCCTCCCCGCTCAGGATCAAAGTCCCTGGGCCTCCACCAGGGCCTCCAGACTCTCCTGTGTCTCTCTGTGATGTCGCACTGGACTAAGGGACACACTGTTGTGTTGGAAGTCTCTCCCCGACTGCCCGCCATTCTCTTCAGACCTCCCCACCCTGTCTCAGGAAATGAGGGGCCCAGCAGATTCTCCCACCCACTTGAGCACCTTCTCCCTTCGAGTCGGCTGTCCACGGGTCATTGCCTCATCACAGGTTTTCTCTTCATCCCTACCACACACAGTAGGGCTTGTCTGCACTCACAGAGCACACGCCCTGCCCAGCACCCCCGCATCTGAGGTTTCGCCCACTTGAACTGGTCTGTCGGCATTGGCGTGACCTCGCCCGGGCCATGCCTGAGGGTTTCCTCTGGCTCCCTCGTCCTGACGCTCGAGCCCCTTGGTTCTTCTTGACCCCCGCCCCTTTCTCTCTTCCCCACATCTCTCTTCCTGTGTTCTTTCAGGGTCCCTCCTAGGCTCCTGGCCACCCCCACAGCCTCCCTGGGCTGTGCCGCCCTCCCCTGTAGCCTCCACGCCTCATCTCTGTGCTGACAACGCCCTGACGCTCTCCTGCACCCCCCCCCCCCCCCCCACCAGAACATCTCCTGGGGACTAGGAGGTCGTGTGGGAAGGGGTTCAGAGCTTGGCTTTAGAGCCAGATTTTGGAGACAAAGCCTGTCTCTGGCACCCAGCTTGGTGACCTCAGGCATTTAAAAACATGTGTGCTTTGATTTTTCTCTTCCATAAAATCCCTATTTGGTATGTTGTAAAGATTAGATAACACTTCTAAAGCACTCACTCTATCTTCCCAGGTTGGAGTGCAGTGGCACAATCACAGTTCACTGAAACCTCAACCCCCTGGGCTCAAACAATCCTCCCACCTGAGCCTCCTGGGGACTACAGGCATGCACCACTACGCCTGACTCATTTTTTATTTTTATTTTTGAGTCAGAATCTCACTCTGTCGCCCAGGCTGGAGTGCAGTGGCACACTCACCATCACTGCAGCCTCAGCCTGCTGGGCTCAGGTGATCGTTCTGCCTCAACTTTCCAAGTAGCTGAAACTACAGGCGTGCACCACCACGCCCAGATGATTATTTATTTATTTATTTATTTATTTTATTTGAGTCGGAGTCTCACTCTGTCGCCCAGACTGGAGTGCAGTGGCCGCTCCCGGCCACCGCAGCCTCCACCTGCTGGGCTCCGGCGATCCTTCCGCCTCAGCTTTCCAAGTAGCTGGAACTACAGGCACATGTACCACGCCCGGCTAACTTTTTGATTTATTGTAGAGATGAGGTCTCGCCTGCCCAGGCGGGTCTTGAACCCGCGGGCTCAGGCAATTCACTCACCTCAGCCTCCCAAAGGCGGGGGATTACAGGCTGAGCCACCAAGCCCGGCTTATTTATTTATTTTTTAGTTGGAATATCACTCTGTTGCTACAGAACTACAGGCACATGCTACCATGCCTAGCTAATTTTTGATTTATTGTAGAGACGAGGTCTTGCCAAGTTGCCTGGGCTGACCTGGAACCCGTGGGCTCAGGCAGTTCACTCACCTCAACCTCTCAAAGTGCTGGGATTACAGGCTGAGCCACCCAGCCCAGCCTGATTTTTTGATGTATTGTAGAGATGAGGTCTCACTAAGTTGCCAGGGCTGGTCTCAAACCTCTGGGCTCAGGCATTCCTCTCCCCTCCACCTCCCAAAGTGCTGGGATTGCAGGCATGAGCCACTCTGTCTGGCTTCATTTTTAGACTTTTTTTGGAGAGATGAGGTCTTGCTATGTTGCCCAGACTGGTCTAAGACTCCTGGGCTCAAGCAGTCCTCTTGCCTTGACCTCCCAACATGCTGGGATTACAGGCATGAGCCACCACTCCTGACCCAGTGTCTAAATGTTTTGATGTTAAGTTTCCTAATCTGACCTCAACACCTTTTCCCCCAAGCTTCTCCTTGTCCGTGTCCCCTTCTCAGGGACTGCTCTCTCTGCCAGACCCCTGGGCCGGGGCCTGGACAGCTCCTTCCTTTCCTCTACCATCTCAGTCCCACAGCCCGTCCTCCTGGCCTTCTGAGTGTCTCATCCACCAGCCTCCTCCCTTCTCCAGGCTCTCCCACTGGGCCCTATCCTGGATTTCTTCCCAAGATTGAGGCCTCCACCCTTACTCTCTCCAGTTCACCCTTTTTTCACACAGTAGCTTCCTGACACTCCAATCTGACCCTGCCCTCCCTTGTTCCAAGCCCTTCTGTCTGCCAGGGGCTTCCCCGTGCCCTCAGAACAAAGTCCAAACTCCTTAGCCTGGTATTCAGGTCCTTTTACAACCTGACCCTATGGCAACCGCAGGCTGGGACATGTGTTTTCTGAACAGAGATACACATGCACACACACCACGTCCCCCACGCTCGAAAAGCCTGCCTTTCCTCACCTCTGTCTGTCCCCCTTCTTGTAGGCCCAACGTCCTCGATCAGATTCCCTTCTGTTGACCCTTCACCTGTTCAGCCTTTCCAGAGTTCCATCACTGGGGGGAGGAGGGGCCCAGCCTGGCACCCCACCCCCCATTCCAGCCAGGGGCTCAGGTCTCCAACAACAGAACCAGAGCCACTCAGCAACGCTGGAACCCATTTGGGAGGGCCTGGGGCCCCTCGTCCCAAGCCAGGAGGGCTTTGGGGAGGGGTGCAGCCCCTGGCAGACTCACAGTGTGGCCAAGGGGGCTGGAGGGTGCCAGGGAGTTGGGGGCCAACCTTGTAGAAGGAGGCACGAGCGCGGTTCTTTTTCCCCCACTGGAGGGGGCGTGGGGCCGGCGGGGCAGGAGGCCTCGTCGGCAGAGCCCGTGGCTTGGGGCTCTCGGCAGGGCAGTGTCGGGTAGTAGGGGCACCATGGCCACCATCCAGTCAGAGACTGACTGCTACGACATCATTGAGGTGCTGGGCAAGGGCACCTTCGGGGAGGTGGCCAAGGGCTGGCGGCGGAGCACGGGTGAGATGGTGGCCATCAAGATCCTCAAGAATGATGCCTACCGTAATCGCATCATCAAGAATGAGCTGAAGTTGCTGCGCTGTATGCGGGGCCTGGACCCGGAGGAGGCCCATGTCATCCGCTTCCTCGAGTTCTTCCATGATGCCCTCAAGTTCTACCTGGTCTTCGAGCTGCTGGAGCAAAACCTTTTTGAGTTCCAGAAGGAGAACAACTTTGCGCCCCTCCCTGCCCGCCACATCCGGACGGTCACCCTGCAGGTGCTCAGAGCCTTGGCTCGGCTCAAGGAGCTGGCAATCATCCACGCCGACCTCAAGCCAGAGAACATCATGCTGGTTGACCAGACCCGCTGCCCCTTCAGGGTCAAGGTAAGTGGGGCTGTCCAGGGTGGCAGTGTACCTTGTTCCTGTCTTCTCCCAGCATCCCCTAGCCCTGGACACTCTTCTCACACTGGGGTCTCCCTCGTCCCACCTCCCAGCCCTGAGGACACCCCACCCTGTCCATAATAGCTCTGTCCAACAGATGGCACCCCAATTCTCCCCATCTCCTGACCCAAGACCTTCTCCATCCCTGACCTGAAGTCATTCCTGTTGTTCTAGGCTCTGAGTTCTCTCCATCCTGTTTTTTTGTTTTTTGTTTTTATTTTTGAGTTGGAGTCTCACTCTGTCGCCCAGACTGGAGTGCAGTGGCCGCTCCCGGCTCGTCCTGCTGGGCTCCGGCGCTCCTTCCGCCTCAGCCTTCCAAGTAACTGGAACTATAGGTGTGCGCTACCACGCCCTGCTAGTTTTTTGATTTATTGTAGAGTTGAGGTCCCGCCAAGTTGCCCAGGTGGGTCTTGAACCCGCGGGCTCAGGCAATCCACTCACCTCGGCCTCCCAAAGCACTGGGATTACAAGGCTGAGCCACTGAGCCCAGCCTGTTGTTGTTTTTTTTTTTTTTTGAGTTGGAGACTCACTCTGTCACCCAAGCTAGAGTCCAGTGGTATGCTCACAGCCACTGTAGCCTCAACCTGCTGGGCTCAGGTGATCCTTCTGTCTCAGCCTTCCATCTCAGCTGGAATTACAGGTATGTGCCACCATGCCTGGCTTTTTTTTTTTTTTTTTTTTTAATTGTAGAGATGAGGTCTTTCCGAGTTGCTCAGGCTGGTCTCGAACCCATGGGCTCAGGCAATCCTCTCACCTCGGCTGGGATTATAGGCATGGGCCACCACGCCCAGCCTGTTTTGTTTTGTTTTTTTCTTTTTAGTTGGGATCTCACTGTGCCAGCCAGGCTGGAGGACAGCCTCAACCTCCTGGGCTCAGGTGATCTTTCTGCCTCAGCCTCCTGAGTAGCTGAGACTATAGGCATGTCCACCATGCACAGCTAATTACAAAAAAATTGTTTTTTGTAGAGATGAAGTCTCACTATGTTGCCCAGGCTGGTCTCGAACTTTTGGGCTCAAGCAATTCTCCCACCTTGGCCTCCTAAAGTGCTGGGATTATAGGTGTGAGACACTGCACCCAGCCCTCCCCTTCCTGTTCTATTCTCAGGTCTCTGGCCCTGTCCTGTCCTTGTGGAGCTGACATTTTAGTAGGAGAGGCAGAGTTACCAAGATAATTGAGTAAAATATGGTCTGTGAGTGAGAAGAAGAAAAGATAAAGCAGAGAGAAAGGGTGTTCATCGGGGGTAGACAGTGATGAGTTTGAATTTTGGACATGGTGGTCAGGGAGGCCTCACTGAGAAGGTGACATTTGAGGGAAGTCCTAAAGAAGTGTGGGAGCCGCCGGGCTTGGTGGCTCAGCCTGTAATCCCACGCCTTTGGGAGGCTGAGGTGAGTGGATTGCCTGAGCCCGCGGGTTCGAGACCCACCTGGGCAGCGAGACCTCATCTCTACAATAAATCAAAAAATCAGCTGGGCGTGGTGGCGCATGCCTGTAATTCCGGCTACTCGGAAGGCTGAGGCGGAAGGATCGCCGGAGACCAGCAGGTCGAGGCTGCGGTGGCCGGGAGCGGCCACTGCATTCCAGTCTGGGCGACAGAGTGAGACTCCAACTCAAAAAAAAAAAAAGTGTGGGAGCCACATAGACATCTGAGGAAAGAGCACCCAAGCAGAAGGAACAGCTAGTGCAAAGGCCCTAAGGTAGAAGCGTGCTGATTGTGTTTGAGGAACACTGAGGAGGCCTCTGTGGCTGAAGCAGAATGAGAGAGGTGAAGAGTAAGGAAATAAGACCAAGAAGGTGACGGAGACAGGCCATGCAGGGCCTTGTAGGCCACAGCAAGGACTTAGGTTTGATTCTATGGAAGCTGGAGCCACGGGAGGATGCTGAGCGGAAGAGGGATGTGATCTAACTCAGGTATCCACAGGGTTTCTCTGGTTTTGCATGAAGGGAACCGACTAGGGGGTGGGCAGGAGCAAGAAGGCGGTGAGAGGTGATCGTGCTAGTTCAGGTGGCAGGTGTGTGGGTGGGACCAGAGTCGGGGCAGAGGGAGCAGGAGACCGGGATGAGTTCTGGACTGTGGAGCTAGACAACAGGGTGTGTTGACAGATTATTATTATTTTTTTTTTTTTTGAGTCCAGAGTCTCACTCTGTCACCCAGACTGGAGTGCAGTGGCCGCTCCTGGCCACCGCAGCCTCAACTTGCTGGGCTCCGGCGATCCTTCCGCCTCAGCCTTCCGAGTAGCTGGAATTACAGGCACGCGCTACCACGCCCGGCTGATTTTTGATTTATTATAGAGATGAGGTCTCGCTGCCCAGGCGGGTCTCGAACCCGCGGGCTCAGGCAATCCACTCACCTCAGCCTCCCAAAGGCGCGGGATGACAGGCTGAGTCACCGAGCCTGTTGGAGTCTTACTCCGTCACCCAGGCTGGAGTGCAGTGGCATGCTCACAGCCACCCCAGCATCAACCTGCTGGGGCCAGCAATCTTTTCACCTTACCCATCCAAGTAGCTGAAACTACAGGCGTGCATTACCGTGCCCGGCTAATTTTGTATTTATCGTAGAGATGAAGTCTTGCCAAGATGCCTGGGTTGGTCTCGAAACTGCGGGCTCAGGCAATCCACTCGTCTCAGCCTCCCAAAGTGCTGGGATGATAGGCTGAGCCACTGAGCCTCGCCTGTTGATGGTTCTTATAGGAAGGGTGAGAGAGGAAGAGAGGACTGGAGGGGGGAACCCAAGCCTGCCAGCCTGAGCGACTGGAAACATGGCAGCACCGCTGCTCAATCATAATCAGTTTGTTCATCAGCAAACATTTACTGAATGCCTGCTCTGGGCCCACAGAGGCACCTCCTCTGAGCTGTCACAGGCCCCTGAACCTCCTCAGCCCGGCTCTGACTCCTCAGCCTGTGCCTCCCCCACTGGACCTGACCCCTCTGTCTGCTTTGGAGTTTGTCACTATCTGGGGATGGGTCCAAACCAGGAGCACCCTAGGGACAGGGCCAGGGCCAGCTCAGTCATCACTGTGTTTTGAGCATCTCCCAGCATTGTGCTGTCATGGAATCAGAGCTGAGTTCATGTTTGTCAGAGACACAGAGAAACACAGAGACAGGAAAAAGCAGCTAATTCTGCCCCAAGAGATGGATGGACAGAGAAGAGACTCAGAGAAAGGACTTCCACACACAGCAGGGAACAGACAAGACAGACTCACAGCACCTGGCCAGCATTTTTTTGTTTGTTTGTTTTTGAGTTGGAGTCTCACTCTGTCGCCCAGACTGGAGTGCAGTGACCGCTCCCGGCCACCGCAGCCTCGACCTGCTGGGCTCCGGTGATCCTTCTGCCTCAGCCTTCCAAGTAGCTGGAATTACAGGCGTGCGCTACCACGCCCGGTTGATTTTTTGGTTTATTGTTGAGATGAGGTCTCGCTGCCCAGGTGGGTCTCGAACCCGCGGGCTCAGGCAATCCACTCACCTCACCCTCCCAAAGGCGCGGGATGACAGGCTGAGCCACCGAGCCCGGCCTGGCCAGCATTATTATCTCTACCATCTTTGTGGAGTGATTGAATGAATCCCACAAACACTGACCGAGGGCTGAGGGTCTCTCAACCTTTTGGGGTTCAAGCCCCAGCACTCTGGGATAAGAGTCTAGATTAAAAAGCCATCATACAACACCGCCTTCTGCAAATGGAAGATGAGGGATAGCTGAATGAAGAACAGAGAAACCCAGAGAAGGACACTGAGGCCAAGAGAGAGTCATGGAAATTCAGTCCGAAAATGGCAGATGGCTCCACCCGGAGGCATGGGGAGAGAAAAGGCTTTCAGCCATCACAGTGTTAGTTCAACAGGTGTTCGCCAAGCATCTGCCAGGTGCCAAGGGCCCGTGGGGCGTATTAACAGTGCCTGATGATGCAGACAGGACCTTGGCTTTAGAGAGATGTGTTTCTTTCCTCTTCTTTCTTTCCTTTCCTTCCTTCCTTTCTTCCATCCATCCATCCATTCATTCTCTCTCTCTCTCTCTCTCTCTCTCTTTATAGTCGGAGCCTCACTGTCACCCTGGCTGGAGTGCTGTGGCACATGGCCACCACAGCCTCGACCTGCTGGGTTCAGGTGATCCTTCCACCTCAGCCTTCCAAGTAGTTGGAACCACAGGTGTGTGCCACCATGTCTGGCTAATATTTTAAAATTTATTGTAGCGATGAGGTCTCGCCAAGTTGCCCAGGCTGGTCTGGAACCCCTGGACTCAGGCAATCCTCTTGCCTCCACCTCCCAAAGTGCTGGGATCATAGGTGTGAGCCACTGCACACAGTAGGTAGTTGTCTTTCTAGTGGGCGACACAGAGACAGAGATGAAGAGAGATACTGAGAGACAAGAGACAGGCAAGTAATGAAGAGCAGTTGCAAAGAAGGAACAAGAGAGAGAATACAAGCAAAACACAGAAAGAAAATGACAGGGGCCAGATGCAGTTGCAGTGGCTCACTCCTATAATCCCAGCATTTTGGGAGTCTGAGGAGGGAGGATGGCTTAAGCCCAGGCTTAAGCTGGGCAACATAGTGAGATCTCATCGCTACAAAAAAAGTTTTTAAATTGCTGGGCTCAGTGGCTCACGCCTGTAATCCCAGCACTTTGGGAAGTGGAGGTGAGAGGATTGCCTGAGCCCACATTGGTGAGACCTCATATCTGCAATAAATAAAAAATTAGCCGGGTGTGGTAGCACACACCTGTGGTTCCAGCTACTTGAAAGGCTGAGGCGGAAGGTGGAGGCTACAGTAGCCGTGAGCGTGCCACTGTACTCCAGCCTGGGTGACAGAGTGAAACTCCAACTCAAAGAAAACAAACAAAACAAAGATTTGCTGATGGACAAGGTATGAGATGAGAGAGAAAGAGAGAGGTCCTAACCCGCTAAGCAGTGGGTTAGTGGAGACAAACAGAGACAGAGAGAGCCAGACACACACAGCACAAAAGCTGGAAGAGACAGATTAGAGTCATAGACCAGAGCTGCAGACTCACAGACACAGAGACTGCAGAGTCAAAAGACAGATGCAGGCTGGGTGCGTTGGATCATGCCTGTAATCCTAGCACTTTGGGAGGCTGAGGCAGGAGGATTGTTTGAGCCCAGCCTGGGCAACATAGCAAGATCCTGTCCATACCAAAAAATAAAAATAAAAAATTAGCTGGGTGTGGTGGTGTATGCCTGTAGTCCGACATACTGGGGAGGCTGAGGCAGGACTGTCTGAGCCCAGGAGGTCAAGGCCACCATGAGCTGTGATTGTGCAGAAAGAAAAACATATGCAAAACGATACCAAGTGAGAGAGGCCAGAGTTCAACCTTCCCATTCACCCTCTTCTCCGCCCCCAACAGGTAATCGACTTTGGCTCGGCCAGCATCTTCAGCGAGGTGCGCTACGTAAAGGAGCCATATATCCAGTCTCGCTTCTACCGGGCCCCCGAGATTCTGCTGGGGCTGCCCTTCTGTGAGAAGGTGGACGTGTGGTCGCTGGGCTGCGTCATGGCTGAGCTGCACTTGGGCTGGCCCCTCTACCCGGGCAACAATGAGTATGACCAGGTGCGCTACATCTGTGAGACCCAGGGCCTACCCAAGCCACACCTGCTGCATGCCGCCCGCAAGGCCCACCACTTCTTCAAGCGTAACCCCCACCCTGACTCCGCCAACCCCTGGCAGCTCAAGTCCTCAGCTGACTACCTGGCCGAGACCAAGGTAGGGGGGCAAGTGGGGTGAGGGCAGTCGGTGTGGGGGCCACTACATGAAGAAAAATCTAGAGCCGGGCACGGCGGTTCACACCTGTAATTCCAGCACTTTGGGAGGCTGAGGCAAGAGGATTGCCTGAGTCCAGGGGTTCAAGATCAGCCTGGGCAACATGGCAAGACCTCATCTCTACCATAAATCAAAAGATTAACAGGGCATGGTGGTGTGTGCCTGTGGTTCCAGTTACTTGGAAGGCTAAGGTGGAAGGGTCACCTGAGCCTAGCAGGTCGAGGCTGTGGTGGCTGTGAGTGTGCCACTGCACTACAGCCTGGGCGACAGAGTGAGACTCCTACTCCAAAAAAAAAAGAAAAGAAAAGAAAAGAAAGCCAGGCTCGGTGACTCAGCCTGTAATCCTGCGCTTTGGGAGGCCGAGGTGAGTGGATTGCCTGAGCCTGCAGGTTCGAGACCCACCTGGGCTGCTTGGCGAGACCTCATCTCTACAATAAAATCAAAAACTTAAGCCGGGCTCGGTGGCTCAGCCTGTAATCCCGCGCCTCTGGGAGGCTGAGGTGAGTGGATTGCCTGAGCCCGCAGGTTCGAGACCCGCCTGGGCAGGCGAGACCGCATCTCTACAATAAATCAAAAAATTAGCCGGGCGTGGTAGCATGCGCCTGTAATTCCGGCTACTTGGAAGGCTGAGGCGGAAGGATCGCCAGAGCCCAGCAGGTTGAGGCTGCGGTGGCCGGGAGCGGCCACTGCACTCCAGTCTGGGCGACAGAGTGAGACGCCAACTCAAAAAAAAAAAAAGAAAAAAAAAAGAAAAATGTAAGTTAGACCTCAGTGAGGACTGGAGGCTTTGGAGTCATTGGAGTTAGCCTAGGGTATTGTCACAGCAAGAGAGCAAGAGAGTTTTGGGTCAGACCCAAGGTGTGATTGGAAGTTTGAGGGTCAGCTCTGGGGACTGTTGCAGCAAGACAGACCTGGGGGAGACTGTAGCAAAACCTATAAGTTTGGGGGTCAGATGTAGGGGCTGATGTAGCAACAGCAATATGGGTTCTACCATGAGTGTGACAGCTCCTCTGTCAGCTTCAACTCTGGGTCAGCAACTTGTGCAGCATGAGGGATTTGGGGAGGCCACAGGAAAAAGATCTGAGGTCTGAGGTTGAGGTGTGAGAATTGCGACAGAGGCTGGGCATGGTGACTCACGCCTGTAATCTCAGCACTTCGGAGGACAAAGTGGGGGGATATCTTGAGGCCAAGAGCTCGAGACTAGTCTAGGCAACATAGCAAGATCCTTTCTCTACAAAAAAAATACATATATTTTTGAATCAGAGTGTTACTCCGTTGCCCAGGCTGGAGTGCAGTGGCACACTCATGGTGACCCCAGCGTCAACCTGCTGTGCTCTGACAATCCTTCCGCCTCAGCCTTCCAAGTAGCCAGAACTACAGGTGAGCGCTACCACGCCCGGCTAATTTTTTGATTTACTGTAGAGATGAGGTCTCGTCAAGTTGCCCAGGCTGGTCTTGAAACCACGGGCTCAGGCAATCCACTCGCCTTGGCCTCCCAGAGTGCTGGGATTACAGGCTGAGCCGCCGGGCCCAGGCCAAAAATATTTTTTAAAATTAGCCTGGGCATGATGGCTTATGCTTGTAATCTCAGCACTTCAGAAGGCTGAGGAAGAAGGACTGCTTGAGCCCAGGAGTTCAAGACCAGCCTGGGCAATGTAGCAAGACCTTGTTTTTACCAAAAAAAAAAAAAAAAGCCAGGCATGGTGGTGCATGCCTATAGTCCCAGCTACTCGGGAGGCTGAGGCTGAAGGATCACCTGAGCCCAGGTGATCGAGGCTGCAGTGAGCCATGATCATGTCACTGCCCTCCAGCCTGGGTGACAGAGTGAGACTGCAACTAAAAAAAAAATTGCCAGGTGTGGTGATGCATGCCTGTAGCCTTAGCTACTTGGGAACCTGAGGCAGGATAATTGTTTGAGCCCAGGAATTTGAGGTTACAGTGAGCAATGATTGTGCCACTGTACTGCAGCCTGGGCAGTAGAGTAAGACCCTGTCTCTTTAAAAAAAAAAAAAGAGTTGCAACAGAAAGAAGGATCTGAGTGAGACTGCAAGTGGGACTAGAAGTTTAGGGCAGCCTGTCTGGTACCTCTTTGACTGCAGTCATCAAACCTGTATAGCAAGTCTGGGTTAGACAGTAGAAAGAATTAGAAGTTTGAGGCTTGATTTCACAGCAAGAAGGGTCTGGGTTCCACCACCCGTAGGTCTGGCGAGCTGGGCTCAAAGGTGGCACTGCAGCGGTAAGAGAGACCTGGATTTGATTCCAGGGAGGACTAGAGTCTTAGGGAGCCCCTCTTCTGGTTGCTGGCAGGGGCTAGAGCCGTGGTGCTGAGGAGGACTGGAGTTCTGGGACAGGGTGTGGACGTGGGTGAGCGAGAGCTCTCGGTTAGACTAGAGGGGGTCAGGTGTGAGCTGCAAGAGAGTTCCAAGGCAGATCATGCCCAGCAGCCCTGGAAGTCGGGGGTAATGGGGGTCCTAGGAGTGCCTGGGGCTCCAGCTCTCCACAGGTGTCAACCCAGACTCCACCCCCTCTCCCCCGCCAGGTGCGCCCCCTGGAGCGTCGCAAGTACATGCTCAAGTCATTGGACCAGATTGAGACAGTGAATGGCATTGGGGCAGCCAGACGGCTGAGCTTCCCGGACTGCGAGGTGCTGGCTGAACTCGCCGACCTCAAGAGCATGGTGGAGCTGATCAAGCGCATGCTGACGTGGGAGTCGCATGAGCGCATCAGCCCCAGCGCGGCCCTGCGCCACCCCTTCGTGTCCATGCAGCAGCTGTGCAGCGCTCATGAAGCCACCCGCTACTATCAGCTGTCGCTGCACGCCTGCCGCCTCTCCCTGCAGGGTGAAGGCAAGCCGCCCGCGCCCATCATGGCCGTCACAGAAGACGGACCCCCCTACTACCATCTGGCCGAGGAGGAAGAGGAGGCCGTGAGCATGGGCAGCGGGCCCTTCTTTCGAGAGGAGAAGGCACCGGGTGTGCAAAGAACCATCGACCAGCTGGATGACCTGAGTCTGCAGGAGGCAGGGTATGGGCTGTGGGGTGAGACCCATACCAACATGGTCTCCAACATGCTGGCCCCGCTCAAGGCAGCCACCGCTGGGGTCCGGGTACCCGACCCGGACCCAGAGCCCATCCTGGCCTTCTATGGCAGCCGGCTGGCAGGCCGCCACAAGGCCCGCAAACCACCAGCAGGCTCCAAGTCTGACTCCAACTTCAGCAACCTCATCCGGCTGAGCCAGGCCTCCCCTGAGGACGACCCACCCTGCCGGGGCAGCGGCTGGGAGGAAGGGGAGTGTCCTGGGGCCTCTGCTGAGCTGCCTGTCATCATCCCCCAGCGGGACGGGGATGGGCCCCAAATAAAGGACATGACCATGGATACTGAGGTAAGCCAGATGGGTGGGCACGGTGCAGGTGGTCCTGGGATTTCAACCTCCCTGGGAGCTTCCTCCAGGGTGGGGCACAGTTAACCAGTTAGCCTTGCCTCCCACATGTCTATATTGCCTGCAGCTGACTCGGGGTCAACACATACTAGGCTACCCTCAGAATGTGATAAGGCTCAGTACTCACTAACTCATATTCATGATGTGATGAGGCTCAGCACACACTAATGCCTGTTTGGGATATAATCAGGATGTGATGAGCCTCAGCACACACTAGCCCCTATTCAGGACATGATTAGGATTTGAGACGGCTCAGCACGCACCCATATTCAGTATGTGACAAGGCTCAGCACACACTCAGATATTCAGGATATAATTAGGATTTGAGAAGACTCAGCACACAGTAACTTATATTCAGAACAAGGATTTGAGAAAGCTTAGCATGCACTAGCCCACACTCAGAATGTGGTAGGGCTCAGCACACACTAACCCACCCTAAGTATGTGATAAGGCTCAGCACACACTAACCCTTATTCAGCATATAATTAGGATTTGATGAGGCTCAGCACACCCTTGCCCATCCTCAGTATGTGATCAGCACATACTAACCCGTGGGTGAAAAGGCTCAGCACACACTAGCCCACCGGCAGGATGTGATAAGGCTCATCACACACTAGCCCATATTCAGGATATAAGGCTCAAAACACACTCATCTCCCTTCAGGCTATGACAGAAACTCACACTGGGCTACTAAGTGGCAAGGCTCAGCACTGGATAAGACCTTATAGCACATACTCCTGGAACTCAGGAAATTGTGACAGTGGCTCGGCGGACACGGACATACTGACGCTTCTTGGCTGATGCCCCTCTCTTCTCCTCCCCCACAGAGGCCAGGTCCTGAGCTCTTCGACCCTAGCAGCTGTCCTGGAGAATGGCTGAGTGAGCCAGACTGGACCCTGGAGGGCATCAGGGGGCCACGGGCTCAGGGGCTCCCACCCCGCCACCCGCACTGTCCGCCCCGGACCACCAGCTTCCTGCAGCACGTTGGCGGGCACCACTGATGGCGATCCCAACCCTGCTCATCACTGGGGGCTGCGCGAGTTGGGCTGGTATCCCCTCCCAACCTGAACTGTTCTTCGGAGTCATCCCTTGAACCTACAAATTATTCTTACAGAAGGAGAGTTATCTAGAAATTCCCATTCCCCCTGCCATGGCGTATGCCTGCACACACACCCCCGAGCATAGGAGGGCCTTGGGGTCTGGCCCATGACCCCTCGGCCAGAAGGGCAGCAGGAAGGGAGCTGTACCAGCTGGCCCTGAGCCTGCCCTTGGCCTTGCTGCCTATTTCAATAAAGAACTGTTCAGTAGTCCTGCCTCAAGCCTGTTCTCACTGCTAGGGGCCTGGACTGGCCCTGGATTGGGGTTCCAGGCTGGCATCCAGGGCCTCGCTTTGTGATACTGCGCCCAGTTTGCCACTGGCTTCGGCTGGAGGCGGGGCTGCTGTCACGCGAGGAGGGAAAGGCTGTGCTTGGCCGGCTAGCCCATCTCCGAAATATGCTAAGTGCTCAGCACATTGAGACTCTACCCTCAGCACATTCTGTGTGTTTAACATGTGTTAATCACAGCTTGCCAAATGCTGAGGGCGCCTTGTCTGTTGACCTGTCCTTCCTACATGTGATGGGCTTGGCATGCACTCATCCATACTTGGGACTTGCTTGGTGTAAATCTACTTAGTAGGCATCAGTTCACACCTGGTAGCATGCTCCAGGGTTCAGACATGCTAGTCCACCTTTGGGATATGGCACTGGTTCAGTCCATGCTCATCTATCTGGGAACATGCTTAGTGTGCATTGCTTGCTACCCCATGCTGGCTTTGTGTGTCTAGTCCATGCTAGGCCACACACTTGCATGCTGCGTGTGCAACACATGCCAGCTCATGTGCGCTCCTCGCTGAGGGCTCAGCACATGCCATCCCACAGTGGTCATGTGCTGAGGGCTCAGTACATGCCATCCCACTCTGGTCATGTGCTGAGGGCTCGGTACATGCCATCTCACAGTGGACACACGCTGAGGGCTCAGCATATGCTAATGACATGTGGAAGGCTTAGCATATGCTGTCCCACAGTGGACACACGCGGAGGGCTCAGCACATGCCATCCCAAATGTCACAGGATGAGGGTTCAGTACCACACACTGAGGCTCAGCACATGCCATCCCAAACTGGTCACATGCTGAGGGCTCTGCACGTGCCAGTCACACGCTGAGGACTGAGCACACAACCATCCCACATGAGTTGCACACTGAGGGCTCAGTGCACTAAGATGTCCCCACCAGAGGTCCATGCCAGCTGTCCCCTTCCCCTGACACCCCATCTCATACCACTCAGGCACAGGCTGTACAGACAAGTTATTTACTTATTATTATAACCTGGGGCCCTTTTTGCCCTGGAAAGGGGAAGTGGGCCAGGAGGCCGGGCCCAGCATGCACCCCCACTTTCTTCAGGAACTGATCCCTCCCCAGCTCTGCTGAGTCCCAGGGCCATAGCGTCAGGCCAGTGGGGGCAGAGGTAGAGGTGGGAGAGCAGGGGAGAGCCTGTGGAGCCACAACGGGGCAGACAGAAGCGGGGGCACGGGGACAGGGACCAGGACCCAGAGCATCTGGGCCCGTGGACAGGGACCGGGACCCAGAGCATCTGGGCCCGCAGGGGCCTAGTGGGACTTCGCCTGTCCGCTGGACCAGCCCTCACAGCAGGCGGCAGGCGTTGCCCACGCTGTTGGCGGAGGTGTCGAGGTCATGGCTGTAGGGGGAGTCCCAGTCCCTCAGGAAAACGGCCTCCAGCTGGTTCCGCAGGCCGCCCCGCCCATTCTGCGTCACCAGCAGTGAGGTGCCTGCTGTTTCCGTGAAATAGTTGCCAGACCAGTTGGAAGTTCCTAGAAGGAGGAAAGGAGGAGGTGGAGATAGCAGCTCCATGGGGTAGCCAGGCCCTGGTACCTGAACCCTCACTTCTTCTGTCTCCCTAGGTGGTGTTTGGGACACTCACCGATGTAGGTGGCACGTTCAGTCACCATGTACTTGTTATGATTGACGCGGGCATATGGGATCCGAGCCTGGGCCTCGTCCGCAGGGACCACAAAGAGTTTCTGAGGAGGGGAGGATGGGAAGGAGTGTGAGGTGCGGGGGAGAGGGGTTCGGAGGAGCTCCAGGGTCAGGTGGTGGGTGTGGAGCCAGGTCTCAGGCCTGAGGACGCGGCTGCTTCCCACAGCACCCCTGGGGGTCACAACAGGGGCCAACGGATGGGGTACTCAGTAAACGTAGACCAAAAGCGAGGACCTATTGCCTCATCTACAACCCTGTGCCCTCTAGGATGGTTCTGGCTCATTCTCGAGGTCTCATGGGATGTCCCATTTTCCAGAAAGTCTTTCTTGGACAATCAAGCTAAGGCAAGGGCTTCTTCTGAGTTCTCCCATCCCAGTCCCGACCCCTCTGCCTAAGCCTCCCCCATCCCGGCCCTGACCCCTCCGCCTGGGTCTCCCCATCCTGACCCCGACCCCTCTGCCTGTGCCTCTCCATTCTACCCAATCCCTCCTCTGTGCTTCCCCATGGTGGCCCCAACTCATGGTTTCCTCATCATGGCATGGCTTGCTCTGGATCATCCTTGTCAGAGGGCATGAGCTCCCTGAGCGCTGTGTCCCCAGTACCACCCTGAACAGGGGCTGAGGGAGTGGCCTGGGGCAGGTGCTTACCACCTGGATGTCCGAGTGGGTATGGTTGTCACGCAGGGCAGCCAGGGAGAGCAGGAAGGCACGCATGGATGGCTCAGAGTGTCCCCAGCAGCTGATCAGCAGGCGCACCTTGACGCCACGCTCATAGGCAGCCCGCCGCAGCCCATCGTCAATGGCAGGCCAGAACCTGGGGGGTGGGGGGCAGAGGTGAGGTGGATGCAGGATCCAGAGGGCAGCTTTATCCACAGGATTCACCCTCAGCACTGGGGAACCAAGCCTGGGCCCTGCTTGAGCTTCTGAGAGCAATGCCCCATTGCGGGGTCCCAGTCTCCATTCCTGTCTCCTTAAACCTGGCCCAGGACAGGTGCGGTGGCCTATGACTGTAATCCCAGCACTTTGGGAGGCCGCGGTGAGAGGACTGCCTGAGCTCAGAGGTTTGAGATCAGCCTGGGTTACTTGGTGAAACCTCATCTCTATAATAAATTTTTAAAAAATTAGCTGAGTGTGGTGGTTTGAGCCTATGGTTCCAGCTACTTGGAAGGCTAAGGTGGAAGGATCGCCTGAACCCAGCAGGTTGAGGCTGTGGTGGCCATAAGCAAGCCACTGCACTCTAGCCTGGGTGACAGTATGACCCCAACTCAAAAAAAAAAAAAAAAAATCCCATGGCCCTTATCTCTTGTGCCTGGCTACCATTCCTGCCCCCCAAACCCACCTACCAATCATCTTACCTATGGCTCCCAGACTCCTGTCATTGAGTTCCCAAGCCCAATCATCTTCCTTTTTTTTTTGAGTTGGAGTCTTACTTTGTCACCCAGTCTATAGTGCAGTGGCATGCTCACGGCCACTGCAGCCTTGATTTGCTAGGCTCAGGTGATCTTTCCACCTCAGCCTTCCAAGTAGCTGGAACCACAGGCGCTGGAACCACAGGCTACCACACCTGGCTAATTTTTTGATTTATTGTAGAGACAAGGTCTCACCAAGTTGTCCAGGCTGGTCTTGAAACTGTGGGCTCAGGCAATCCACTCGTCTTGGCCTCCCAAAGTGCTGGGATTACAGGAATGAGCCACTGTGCCCAGCATATCCTCCTTCTTATTCCAGATCCAACCCTGCTGCCTAAACCCAAATACATTTAGCCCTCATCGCCCAAGCCCCTCATCCCATTTCCAGACCATGCTTTTCTTTTTTTTTTGAGTTGGAGTCTCACTCTGTCACCCAGACTGGAGTGCAGTGGCTGCTCCCGGCCACTGCAGCCTCGACCTGCTGGGCTCCGGCGATCCTTCCGCCTCAGCCTTCCGAGTAGCTGGAATTACAGGCATGTGCTACCATGCCCGGTTGATTTTTTTATTTTATTGTA